TCTTAAGGTCGAAAATATTCAAATCCCCGAAAGATACCTATTTTGAATTAATTACTTAACTAAATTACTCATCTTTAACTTGACTAAAAAATAAATAAATAAATGATAAATAAATAAGTTTATGAAATATTTCACTTAAATAATATTTCATTATTTTTCTATGGTCCTAACTAAAAAGTAGTACAATTTCGCAAATCAAGTTAAGTTTAAACATTTTAGCCAAAGAATTAATTGTCGGATAACCGCATATTAGCGGACATTTCGGGTGCTTTCAAACCCTTCCCGAAATGCTAATAAGAACCTCGAACCCTTTTTAAGTTTTCACTAGATTTCTGTTTTAGTCTTTTGAAAACAACAGTTTTCTTGATTTTTTCTGAAAAATTAAGTGGAGACTCTTAAATCAGTCCAAAATACTATTTTAAATAAAACAATAGGCATAAGCTAAGATTGATAAAGATTCAAGGCCAACCGCAACAATGTTATAAGAGCTAATTCAATAAAATAGTAACAGCCGGAAATCGACCTACATACACATTCTAGTCATGGTTGAAAACGGAAAAAAAATAGCAACTTAATATAACCGGAACTCTATCTTTTACTGGAAGTTAGCAAGAACAAACTATGAAACAAGCCAATACTGCAATACTAAGGGTGGAAAATTAGGATTTTAGACGAGAAAAGTAAGTAAAATTTAATCAGCCACATCAAACAACAAATTACAGTTAGAATAGGAAAGGACGCAAAAATGGAGAAGTATACCTTTTCCGGAGCAGCGACTGGACGACAACGAGCTTGAGAGCGGAGACTCTTCTATTATGAAATCTAAATACAACAATAAGCTAGAAAATCTAAGCGTCGATCTTCTTGGAACTTAGAATCAGAAAGCTAGATATAAAATTCTTAAGTTTAAATGTTTATCGTCAAATAATCGAATTCTAAAATATGTCAAAATCCAATTTCCAAACTTGTTCCACCTCCTCATCAATGTAAAATTATTTATAGAGGAAGTTGGGGGTGATTTTAGGGGGGAAACTGTTGAGAAAAAAAAAGATTCAAAACGTTTTTTTTTTAATTTTTTCCTCTTTTCAAAGGCAAACAGTAGGAAGTATGGAGATTTCTGACAAAAGGGGAAGAGGGGATGGGATGAGTTGACGTCTGTGGATTTCTCGCTGAATTTTCTGGGTTTCGTTTGCAGCCTTTTGCTTGATGTTCTTGCGTGGAGAAGAAGAAGAAACAGAGCGGGGCGGCGTATGTACTGCTGTACATAATGATGTTGTATGTTATGTATGTATTGGTGGATATGGGTTGGGTCTTTTGGAGTTGAGAATGGGCTGAAGTTTGGATGAAGAGTTGGTGTTGTATGTATTTTGCTGGAATGGGTTTCTGGAATTGAATTGGTGGGCTGCTAATGGGATTTGGGCCGGCTGGAAGGTTGCTGAAAAGGATTGGGAATGGGCTGAAAAATGGTCCAAGAAGTGGGATAAAAAGATAGTTGGATTTGAAAATAGGAAATGGCCACATGAATTGCAATTATGGCCAATGGAAATTAAGAAGTTAGCCAAATTGAGTTTAACTTAGGGAATTTGACTAAAATTTAATTAGGATGAATTAATATTGATTAATTAACAAGCTTCTTAATCTTAACAAAATAAAATAATTAACTCAATTATAAATTAACTACTCAAAATTATAACCATAATTTAACCTAAACTAATACAATATTTAACTAAAAAATGTAAAATCTTTTTGATGATTTTCAAATATTTATAAATTAACGTGATTGTGGAAATATACGTATTCATTATTTTAAAATTATTACAAAAGACAAAAATTACTTTTAAAAATAACTTGCAAGCATTTCGAATTTCATAAGACTCATTAATTTCAAAACTACAATCATCACTAATAAAACATTTAAAATAAAAATCTTTTTGAGGTGATTTTTTTGAATGTAAAATACATTAATTGTACACATAATTATATAAAACATATATATCATTTACAAAGTGACGAAACTATTTAAAATGACTTGCAAACTATATTTATTTTATTTATTTTATTATCTTTTTTTTTAATTTTTATAAAACTAATTACTTTAAATCATTTTGAAATTGAAGAAGCTCGACAATTAATTTATATTGTGCAGGGTCAAAATTGGGTGTCAACATTGGGTACACATTGTTTAAAGAATACAAATTAGTTTCAGCTAATTGATATAGTATTTTATAATATATGAAAAAACACCCTTTTGTCAACCAATTAAGGTTAAATTATTGGTACTTATATAGAGAATTACAGACTAAATTCGAGTGGCAGAAAATAAAAGAGGTTTTAACCCTATATCTAGAAATATTAGAAACAACAGACTTAACAGACAAACTTTATAATCACGGGGGTCTATATTCATCAAATCGACCAACATTAGTCAATCTAGCGCTATTAAGTGCATTAAAGTGGGAACTACATAGCATAGAGAGTAATATTCAACACGCAAATAGACGCATAGGAGTCCAAAGGAACTAAATTAGTAAACTAATAGTTCTTTGGACTCCTATGCGTCTATTTGCGTGTTGGATATTACTCTCGATGCTATGCAGTTCCCACTTTAATGCACTTAATAGCTCTGGGTTGATGAATATATAAAACATATATATATATATATAATATATAACATGTATTCTCTAAATTATACTACTACTTTTTAAATGAGTAATTATTATATTTTTTAAATTTTATGAGATTATTAAACAGATCAAGATATTCCAAGTTTTAAAATAATCCTGGATAATATGAATCCTTTGAATTTTCGCCGAATTTCTTTAGGTTATATAGAGTAGTTAATTTCCATAAATTTTCTATTAAATAAAAAGACATTGATAGACACAAATACCCTATTTGCCTATATGTGGCTGTCCATCCTATTCATTTATTACTCTTTTCCTACAAATGTAAATGCCTTCTTTTGGTCAGAATGGGGAGCTAAGATTTTTTTTCAAGAATGTTCATTTTTGAACAAGTAAAAAAAATAAATTTTGTTGTCATTTCTATTCTCTTTTTTAACTTAAATAAAAAATTTAAAATTTAAACAAAATGTCTAATTTTGGGCTCAATCCAAGTCCCCAAAGTTAATTTGAACGGCCTTAACTATTAGGCTATATTTTATTTACTTTGTCAAGGGTGTTCATCAATTAGTATATTCAAAAATATCGATATTTAATATATATACTTGCAAAAAAAAATCTGACGAAGATTGTTCATCTGACCTCCCTTAGCTAGATGTAGCTCTGCCCTTGTCTCAAGTCCTCTAGTACCTATCTTAGTTGGTCAGTTTCGAGGTACTATCCTGATTTTTGTACTATTATCTTCTAGAAGTATTTATCTATCGTGCATTTATTTTTTAAAATTATATTCTTTACATTTTTAAAAATCAATAGTAATTTTAAAATATAAACACTTAAAAATCTAAAGCTCAAAATTAGAGTTAAAATAAAATTGTTTGACTTTTGAAATTCGAAATATGTCATATAGAGTAAGATAGAGAGAGTACTCTCTTAGTTCACTTTTACTTGTTCATTTTCAACTTTTCATATCTTTTGAGAAATAAAGATCAACATGAATATTTTATCAAAATACTTCGTACTAATTGATGTATGCTCTTAAATTTTGAAACTGATTTGAAAAATAAATAATTAATGTTGAAAATAAAACATGAAAAAAATAGACTAAGCGAAGAGTGACCTTTTTTTTTCTCTCTATATAAACTACAATATGTTCCATTCATCTCCAACCCAAAATACAATATTTCCATACTCTGTTTTTCTAACATTTGCATACTTTGTTTCAACTATGGCCTCTTCCAACGACAACAAGAACAACAACAACAATGATGGCGTCATCGATTTCTTCCCATTCTATCGACTCTATAAAGACGGTTGAGTAGAACATTTCTACGAACTTGCTGGTGTACATGAAGTTCCACCATCGCTGGAAGATCCAACGACTGGTGTGTCATCAAAAGACATGAAAATCTCTTCTCACGTCTCCGCTAGACTCTACCTTCCAAAAAACTCCCTGTCCTAGTGTATTACCGCGGCGGAGGACTTGTAATAGGATCTGCATTTTTAAAACAGAGCATTATTACCTCAACCATCTGGTTTCGAATCAAATTGCATAGCGATTTCTATAGATTACTGTCTTGCCCCTGAGCATGACATCCAGACAATCCAGGATTGTTGGGATGATCTTCAGTGGGTCATATCACACTTTGTTTTTGATACCGTGGATTGAAAATCACGGTGATTTCAACCGTGTGTTTGTAGGGGTAATAGTGCTGGAGGCAATATAGTTTATATTATGATCATGAGAGCCGGGAGGGAAAAATTGATCGGAGATGTGAAACTTTTGGATGCAATACTTGTTGACATTATTAATTCATCATCAACCTCTATTAATGATATTAATTCTAAAGAGAAGAGTAGAGGAGAAGTGGAGGTAATGGCGGCAGAAACAATATACAAGGATCCTAAGTCTCATTTTCAAATTTCACTAGCTGTTTTGGATTTGCCTACAAACAAGACACCTGGCATTGTCACATCCGTTAGATCATCTTGTGCTGGATATAATCCTCTCCACACATTAGAAACAATAAAGGAAGAGGTCACGTGATCATCAAATACAATTTGGTTAGTTTGTTAGATTTTAGTCCAATTAGAGATAGACAAGTGTATAAGAGTATTCTTTTGCTTCTTTGTTATTTTTCCTATATATAGTTGTACATATTGAGAAGAGAAATACACAGAGAAAAATTTCTCCATTCTACTTCTTTACAGTTTGTAATTCTTCATGGTATCAGAACAAGGTTAAATCCTTTGCTCATTTTCTTCTTCTTCAGTTCTTCTTTTTCCTTGAATCCAAATAACACCTGATGTTGTTGTCACAAATACTTCTGAGGCATTGGACTCAAGCAGCCCTTTTTTCTTCATGCTTCAGACTCACCAGGGATGACTCTACTCAACTCCACCTTCGATGGAAAAGGATATGGAGGTTGGAAGAGATCTGTTTTGATAGCCCTTTTAACTAAGAACAAGTTGGGCTTCATTGATGGAACCTATCAAGCTCCAACAATTGGTTCAGTTAATCACAAGCTCTGGGGAAGATGCAATGACATGGTAATTTCTTGGTTACTTAACTCACTTTCTAAGGAAATTGCAGGTAGCGTCCTTTACTCTAATTCTGCGAAAGAACTCTGGACAGACTTGGAAAATAGATTTGGACAGGCAAATGGTGCAAAACTATACCACTTGCAGAGAGAACTAAATGATCTTGTGCAGGGATCCCCTGATGTAGTAGGATATTTTACTAAGATCAAGCTTCTTTGGGATGAGCTGGATTACTAATGACAATAATTTTGTTTGCTCCTACACTTGTACCTGTGAGGGAAAGATAAAAATGTTCAAATCAAAGCAAGATGAAAGGCTAATTCAATTTCTTATGGGGTTGGATGAAACATATGCAGGTGTAAGAAATAATATTCTTATGCAATCACCATTGCCAAATGTTAATCACGTTTATTCCTTGCTAATTCAGGATGAAAAACAAAGAGAGGGTTATGCTAGCTCTAACTTTCCTGTTGATTCTTCTGTTTTAATGGCTGCACAACAGAAAAACCCAGGACCTAACAGCTTTCAAGGAGGTTCTGATTTTAGAAATAGAAAGAATACTCTTATTTGTTCATGTTGTAAGAAGCCATGTCACTCTTTTGACAAGTGCTACAGAATCATAGGCTTTCCTCCGGATTTTAAGCTTACTAAAACTAAGAAATCATCTGGAATGTTTCAAGGAAACTCTGTTATGGCAGAAAATGGAAAAGGAAATGGTTTCAGCACAAAAGCAAGGAATGAAGGACCACAGTTCACTCATGAACAAATTAATCAGCTGATGCAGCCTCTTCAACAAGCTAAAATCACACAACATATGTCCTCACCTTCAGAGGTCAATGCTAACATGTTGAACTATGCTGGTAATATTTTCCATAATCCTGCAGTGTATCTTACATATGCTAATTCTAGTTCTTGGATTTTAGATACATGAGTAACTGAGCATATGTCTTATGACTCAAAGTTTTTCACATCTCTTCTTGCCTTACCTTTCCCCCTCATTGTCAATTTGCCTAATTCCTACAAAGTGAGGGTAACTCACAAAGGAACAGTCACTCTTTCTCATGATATTATTCTCACTGATGTTTTATTTGTTCCTTCCTTCAGAATCAATCTAATATAAGTGCACAAATTGTGTGTGCAACTGAATTGTTTACTCACCTTCTTTTCTTCTGATTGTGTTTTACAGGGCCATTCAGTGAAGACCCCTCTGGCACTTGGTGATGTTGTGAATGGACTCTATCATCTCAACACTTCTACGTTGTGTTCTCAGCTTTTTAGTTTCTATTTGTTCTTTGTATTCACCTAAGGATGTCTACTCCAAATGTAATTCAGTTTCTACTCCTATAAGAAAGCAAAGTGATGTAATATTATGGCATATCAGACTGGGGCATTTGCCAATTCATGCAATGAAAAGAATTACATCTCTTACTTTTACTCTTCCATATGATTCTAATTGTGTTTTTGATATCTGTCCTTTAGCAAGACAATCCAAGCTTCCCTTTCCCTCAAGTTCCATTAAAACTTCCAAAGTTTTTTGAACTTATTCATGTAGACACTTGGGGTCCTTACAAGTCTCAAACCTACAATGGTTTTCGGTACTTTCTTACCATAGTCGATGATTTCAGCAGAGCTACGTGGACTTACTTATTAAGTACCAAAAGTAATGTTTTTACCATGATCAAATACTTTCTTGATATGGTAGATAGACGATTTGGCAGTAAAGTACAAGTGATTAGGTCTGATAATGCTCTAGAGCTTGGAAGTGGGACTAATAACTCACAATTTTTTCTTTCTCAAGGAATTTTGCATCAAACATCGTGTACTGCCACCCAGAACAAAATGGGTGTGGTTGAAATAAAACATAGACATCTCTTAGAGACATTTAGAGCCCTATTACACCAATCCAAGTTGCCTATTTCTTTCTGGGAGAATGCTTACTGACCGCAACACTCTTGATTAATAGGTTCCCTTCTTCAGTTCTAAAAGGGAAGACTCCATACGAAATGGTGTTTAACAAACTGTCTTCCTATCATTATCTGAGAAGTTTTGGGTTATCTATGTTTTGCTTTTACATTATCTCAAGGCAGACCTAAATTTGCTCATAGGGTTGTCCGTTGTGTGTTCTTGGGATATCCTATTGAGTAAAAGGGATATAAGCTTTTGAACCTCAAAACCAGAAATGTTTTTGTCTCGAGAAATGTTCAGTTTCATGAATCTATTTTTCCTTTCTCTTATCAGTCTTTCCCTCATCCATTGTTTCCTTACACTTCTCCCCCTAGGATGATTCTACACATCCAACACCTCAACATTATGATAATTCTATACTATTCAGACTCATGATATCCTCCTCCTCATTCATATGAAATTTCCTACGGGTATGACTCCACCTAGTCTAGATCATGTTTGTCATCTTAGAAAATCATTATATGGGTTGAGACAAGCATCACGACAGTGGTATTCTCGCCTTGCAGCAACTTTGAACTTTAAGGATACTCATCCTCTCTAAATGATTATTCCTTTTCTTAAAAAAAAGGGGATTCTGTTTGTTGGTAGCAGTTTATTTGACGATTGTTCTCCGGTAATGATCCCA